AATTTTCCCCTTCTTAGAATCCCGCCTTTGAAATGTCACAAGTAGCCCATGTCCAGCCCTAAAGGTTAGGGGTGGGCGCGGGTCGGTTCGGTTCGGTTCTAAAGAGAACCGAACCAAACCAAACTTTCAGGATATTTAGTAAATGGAATCGTCGGATCCAAATATAATTATGGAACTGTTCGGGTTCAGTTCCGTTTGATTCAGTTCGGTTCCGTTCGGTTCTGTACTATAATTAAATTTTTTAACATTTATAACAATATTATATAAATACAACTATTGATACATTCAATGGTTTTTGAATGTCAGAGACTAGTAAACTAACTTGTTTAAATGATCGTTACGATCAAAGTTTCGGTCGGCGAAGGTCACAGTGTCGGCCGACGATTGTATAGGTTTTGGAATATTAGCGAGGCTGCGAGAGTGAGTGCAAGAGTCGAAACAACGTTATGCATTTTAGTGTAGGTATTTAGGGTTATTTAGTGGATTTGATCTTGTTTGGCTAAGAAATGAAACAATAAAATGAGTAATTGAGCCAAAAATTAAAAAATTAGAAATGAAACAAATTATTGGGCCAAAAATTTGGATTTAAAAATCGTTATTTTGTTAATTTGTTTAGAAAAAATTAAAATTAAAATAATTTGATTTACTAAATATAAAAAAAATAAATTAGAAAGATCCGGTTCTTGGTCTAGAATCGAGAGTCGAACCGTACCCGTCGGTTCTCAATTTAGATGCTCGTTCGGATATTTAATTTGACAAGAACCGATAGATTCGGTTCGGTTCGATTCGAGAGATTTGCCCAACCCTACTAAAGGTTGAGCCAGCGTCTTTAAATTTAATAAATTACAAAATCATCCCTGAAATTTATGACAATTACAAAACAGTCTCTCTAGTTCCTAAAATTACATAATTAACCTTAGTTTTAATCAACGCTTACGTATACACCTTTTGAATCCATACACAAACTTGCAAAGTCAGGAAATTGAAAGCGAAAGATTCGAAAGTCTTAAGTTTGGATTATAATTAAAATATCTATTCGAAAATTAACTTCTTGTTTGACTCCTTTTATTTCAAAATTTTTTATTTCTCATAATTATACGCATTTGCACAATAAAATATTTTACATATAAATTCAATTTTTTTTTATTTTTTTAACTTTTTAACCACAGTTTATTCAAAAAATTACTATTCAAAACATCATTTTCACCATATTTCTCTTTATTATGGTCGTCAAACACCAACGGGGGTGTTCTCAACTAAGATTTTGATGAATTTTATCCCCCGTTTAGCCCCCATTTTTGGGAAATGAAAATGTGCAGAATCGTTTTTTTTTTTTTTAAAACGAGTGGTTCAAAAAGAATGAAAATTTTTCGATTTACATATAATATTATTTTATGGAAGATTATATGGTTGAAAATATGAGAGAGAAAAATGGAATGTAATAGAATTTAATATAGGCCCTGTTTTATTCTCATTTTATCAAAATGCATTTTTTTCTATTCTTTTTAACCATACATTTTTCATCACCACATTTTTCATCGATCTACTATTCTAAAATTTATTTTTCAACAAAATGGGTGTCAAATATCCTCATAATGAGATTCAAATGGGGCTTAAAAGATTATAAATTCTAATAAATTTCGTGGATTTGAATAGATCTTCACAAATTTCATAAGAATATCATCAAATGTAGTAAAATTCCAAAAATATTTGGTTATATATATATTTTTTTAAGCCTGAAATTTATCCAAATCTTTTAAAATTTCTCTATTAATGAAATCTTTATAAATTCACTAATTATTTAAAATACCTAAATGTTAAAGGATTTCTAAGGGTGTTCTCAATTAAGATTTTAAAAAATTTTAAAAGACTATAAATTCTAATGAATTTCATTGATTTGATAGATTATTACAAATTTCATAAGAATCTCATCAAATATGGTAAAATTTTAAAAAATTTGGTAATATGTATTTTTAAACTTGAAATCCATTCAAATCTTTTAAAATCCTTCTATTCATGAAAATTTTATAAATTCACTAGTTATTGAGAATACTTAAGTTTCAATGAATTTCGTTAAAGTCCATTAAAATCTCAATTAAAAACACCTAAATTTAGAATGATTTTTAAAATTTGCCATAATCTTAATTTAGGACACCACTTCATTAAATTTTATTAAAATTTTAATTGGGAATGCCTAAATTTTAGTATATTCGATTGTGAATATTTAATTTTAAAAGATTTTTCAAAATTCATCACAATCTCAATTGAAAACACTCATAATTTTAGATGGGCATTGATTAGCGTATAGCTTCTAAAAGCTGTAAACCTTAGGTGTGTGGGCCCTCAACATGTGAGAGGATTGTTACACGGTTTAGAAGTGACTTTTCATTTTAGGCCTTGTTCGTACAAATTAATCTAAAAATGAGAATGAAAAATATAGTTGTTATGAGTCTCATAAAAAAAATATAAAGTTAAATATAGTGACTTGATGTGATAAACAACGATTATATTTTTCATTTTAATGGAAAACAAACAGAGACTTAGATTCATAGGGATAATAAATCATTGAACAGCCGTCCAAATTGTCAGCATCTTCCACGTGGCAAGACTGGATGATAGTGATTCTGTGGTTGGGCTAGAATTGGAAGGCTGGTTCAAATATTTTATTTGTATAAAAATAGTATGGGTACGATTGGTGCCACGTTTCACTTTGTTAAACGTGACTTCCAATGGAGATTTGCTCATGTCAACGTCACACTTTTGGCCTTTGCCAACCCAAATAATTGTTGGGATGCCAATTCAACTTCTGGTGCGTTGGAGCCACGTTTCACTTTGTTGTACGTTACTTCCAATGAATATCTGCTCACGTCCACATTACACTTTTGCCCTTCGCAATCCAATTTCAATATAATTTATTAAGTCATGTTTGGTAGAGTTTAAAATCAGATTTTTAATAAATTTTGATAAAAGTTGATGAAATGTGTGATTAAAAAATTGTAAAACCCATGTAACTAAAATTAATTGTTAACTTTGACTTATATTAAAATCTGAATTTTAATCCGTACTAAATATGGACTAAGTTTAAGAATGAAATATCGTGGTATTAAAAAAATTCTCCAAATGTGTCCAGTTAGAACATATTCTTTAAGGCTCATTATTCTTTCCAACTTTTTTTTTTTTAAAAAAACTTTACACTTTCTCAATAAAATAAGCTTGCATGTGATCTTGTAATTTTTTCTTACTTTTTTACTACGCATTCTTCAAAAAATCACTTTTCCTACATCAAACAGTCGTATATAAGTTGACAATGGTGTGATGAAGCCAATTATAAGAATAAAAAGTAATGCGATTTAACATTATTTGTAACAATCTAGACCTCGTGCTCAACTATTCTTTTACGTACTGTTCGATTCGAAAATGGATATTCTCACTTATCCATCACGACTTTCTATCGTATTTCCCAATATTCAAACCTAAGACATTTGATCTTGGGTTCGAACCTTGGGAACGCGATTAAAATTTGTGAGGGTGTAAGATGAACTCAGACTCTCCCAGAATGGACAATACATAAATTAACTACTTGACATAAAGGTAGGGTCGTTACATTACCAGTGTTACAATACCAATTTATATAACATTTAATGACAATAAAATAAGAGGTACAATTAAATGAATCTATAATTTTAGTTTTTTTCCCTTTTGTGTTTTGTTATTAATTTCAAAATGCATCCGTACACTACATGTACAAATTATGGCATACCAAAAGAATAAAGCAAAAGATATTTACAACCTGCAACCCCTATATTCTTGACATTGCAACTCAAAGAATAAGATGAAATAAAAGTTGTAAAAATGATAGCACGTGAAGTTACACGTAACTTTTAGTCTTCGGCATAAAAAAATGAAGTCCTCATATTTGAGATCAAGACTATATCAGACATCAAATATAGGGATTCAAGAAAAATATAAAAAAGAAATGGATGGAACTTGATTTGAGCGACTTTTATCGATGAAAGTGTTGACCTCAATTTTTGTAAGAATAACGTGGTCAAGAAGTAGGTACTCTAAGTGGATGTCTTCCTGCGCATGGTAGCAAACCGTTAGTTACTCATGGCCTTCTAGTGATAGCAGAGGCGACTCCGACACTCCAATGATTAAGTTAGATAGTGAAGAAAGAAAGAAACAACACCCCTTTGATCTTAAAGATAATAAAGAAAAATGTATGTTTTACTGGATAAGATTGCATTAACCCTTTGAAAAGAAAATAAGTTTAAGCATTTATGAGGAAAGATGTAGATCTTGGACCATTGGATGAAGAGACAGGTGGCTACATCTGCTAGTCGAAACGTCCCCTCCTAGACGTTAATCAACTAGTCTCTATGTGGGCGGGCATTTAATGCTCCCCAACGAGTAGATTTTGTAATTTAACCTTTAGGCATCTGTTTTACAAATATCACATCAATCAATCGTGCGGATCTTAACTTGACTAGCTATTTGCATAAAAAACCCAACAATTAATATAGGGAAGGTGACGTGACGTGATGTCACTCCAACAATGGCATTCCGCTTCTCATCGATTCGGCTCATGCTCTTTCAAGCCATGTCACTTCGGAGCCTCGGTATGCCTCTAGATATATTAATGGCCTATTTTGCCTCGGAACTTTGACAGTAACGTGGTGCGGACTTTGTCGACCCACTTAGCTGCCTGCCATATTGGCTACAAATATGGAGCCTCGTTGTAAGAGGCGTAACAACACGTATGATCAGATTGTGTAAAGATTGAATCATTAGAAGAATACCGATATTAAGACATCATTCGGCAATTAGAAGAAGGCTGCAAATTAACAAATATATTAATCCATTAAGCAACATTCTGCCAAAGTAACTGAAAATTATTCGTGGACACAATTAATATTTCATTTTCACAAGATTATTGCAACAGTGAGAGAAGGGCATTCTAATTCGATTTTTCATTGAAAATATGATGCCAAGGTAAGTGGGATTCATTCATTCCCGAGCTGTATAATATATCCTGAAACCGAAAGGCTTAAATGTGAAGGGACATTCTTGCAGATCTGAAAATCCTCGCGTTTCCAATGAAAAAGATGGAATATGACCAATAAAAGGTATTATTCGGCGCCATGCATTGTTATTGCACAAGTGAAAGGTTGCAATAAAACACTATTTTCTTCTCTCTCCCAGTGTGCGCGTCTTGTTCCGCCTATTTTTCCCGATTCCTCTCTCTTTACTGCTACGACTACTCATTTACAATTCCACTCTACGTTCTACGATTCAAGGTCGAAACTTTCAAGTCTCTCTCTTGTTACTTGTTTCTCTGTCTTAAAGGATTAGAATTCTACTATTTCAAGTTCAATTCTTGGGAATGAGATTTGGGATTCAGTTGAATTTGAGTGTGAACCGATTCGATTTTGCTGGTCATCGATACTCTTGTTACCAAATCCAGAATAGAATCAATTCCACACGAAAGAAGAACCCATCATCCGTTTCTTTCTGATTCCGTAATATTTTTAGTTATTTGTTGATGGAATTTATGGACCCTCTTTATAAACCAGATATTGCAATTTTGACTCTGTTAACGTGATTAGCTCAAATTCCACAAGATTGATGGGCTACTAGGGATTCAGCCAGCCAAAATTGAAGGGGCGGCATTCTTTTATTTATTTATTTTAGAAGTTTGGTTACTTAGCTGCTGCAGAAGTTCTCTACCTGAACAACTTTAAGCAATTAATGGTTTTCTCTATCTATCGCAATGAGAGTGAATTGCTGTGTTTTTTGCTAGGGCTTGGTTTTTCTGTTTCTGTGTTATTATTGGTAATTGGGAATGGAAGAAGACAACTTGCATATAGAAGTAAGCAGGGGAGTCTGCAGTTTCATGCTGGTCTTATTGACGCCACCTTTCCTTTTTTGTTTAGTCACTTAATGTTCTTACCCTGATTGCATTTGTGTCTAACATTTGCAATTCTTTGTTGTTTATCATGCAGAAAGTACTAGAGAATTTGACCAGCTGTATATCTTCTGATTATTAAAGACCCAGGTGAACATATTTATCTATTGATCATTTTACACACTGACCTCGTGAGTTGCCAACTGCTTTGTTGTTGTCTTCATTTAATGAGTTTGCACTCTATTACTTGTTCTTCAAATTTCCATGTGACGGTTGCCTCTGTCATGTAGACATCCTTATTGTTATTGTACAATATATCGTATCTGAATGTGTATATGAGTACATAGAGAGAACTCTTGCCATTCTATTTGGTTTATTCTGGTATTCTATCTTATGTATCCAATCTTTGATTGTTCATTACTTGGGCTAGCAGGCAAAAGAAATTCAAGGATATGGGATGCTTTGTATCTACGCCGAAGGACACAGGTGGAAACAGGAAGAGACCATCAAACATCGGGGAGGTCTCTGTATTTGTCCCAGGTTTAAGGATTCCTAAAACGGTGGATTTCTCCCAGGCACTAGGCGATCACTTGTCTAAAAGTTTAGTGGAACGCCTTTCCGCTCTTAGAACCAGAATTGTAGTTATGGCAGCACAAGAAGCTCCGACTATTACAAGAACAAGACGGAGAACTGCTACTCAACATGGTTCTTGTAGAATCCCGACATTTTTTGTTGTCTCTGATATGTCTCTTGAAGTTTAACCAGATCTTTCCTGCAGGAGGTTCAACTCTGGGAGATCTTCTTCAGGCTCTTGAAGATTATTTGCCCGTACTTTTGGGTTTGGTTAAAGATGGTAAGCTTGTTAGGCACAAGTCTAGTTAGCAGATATCCTGGGATGATATTGTTCCTGAGGTAATTCTTTGCATTGTACAGGGAGCCCATTGCAACACAAAGTACAGTTTGTTTGGTTTAATCAGGAGGACGAAGCAGAGGTCAAACTAGCATTCTCAACTATAATTTTCTGTTTTATAATTCCCTTCCTTTTAGGGCACTACTAATCTTGCTGTTATTATTAATTTTCCAGGAAACGGCAGTATATAGTGCTTGGTATGAAGTATTATCAGTTTTGCACTTGATGGCAATGCTATCATTATCCCAAGCTAACCTGTTGCTTCTTCCTAGAACATCTGCTGATGGTTGTCAGCCAAAGATATCAGAAGGTGGGTTGTTATTGGTAAATCGTGGACATGACTGTCACTTCAGCTTGCCAGCTGGGAAATGAGGCACTTTTAATGTTTTCAAACATCCTGAGAAGAATTGTAGCTTTTAAATTTATTGAGCCCAACCTTCGATTATAGGTTGTTTCCTTTAACCTGTTGTTAGTTGAACATATCGTATAAACATAGCTGATTAGTGTGTGGCATGTGCACTTGCTTAATAGTCAGTGCGGTAGTATTTGTTGGGAATCATTCATACAGGATCCTTCTCTGACGGAAATCAGATTTTGATGATTACTTAAAAGCTGTATGCAGCCTTCTAAATGATTTCGTTAACTCACAAAAATACCTTATAGAAGGAATACTCATGTGATTGACATGTTCCACTGATATGGTTCATATGATATTCTAGCTAGTCATGGAAATTGGATTGTTGCAAATAATTGGTGACAAGGATGTGTTTGCATTCAAACCAGGGTTCTTACAAATGGAAGCAAAGATTTACTGTTTACCGCATAGTTTATCCTAGTGATGATTTATCATAGTGCTGCACAAATATCTATTATTCTTTAGAAATAAAAGCCTGTAATAGACACAACTAAGATAAAAGCAAATATTGTGCCCATATGAGAACGACATTATTTGAAGACTATCAGTCTAAATATCAAGGAAAATATGTGAAATCATGAAAAATTAAGGAGAATAGTGGTTATTGTATTGCATTATTGAAGAAGAGCAAAGAGAATCCTTGGTTGGAGTCAGTGTAGCATATTTCAGGTGGCCAAATGGTAATAGAGGTTATCAGTGTTAGAAAATTTCTCATCCTCTTAACAATTTTAGGTACACTTTTATAATTATTAAATCGCCTTTCTTGTTAAAAAATGGTCATCGAAGTTACCTGAATCCTCGGGTCATTACTTTGCTTGCTATTCTTTTGCTTCTACTTCATTTCAATCTTTTCTTCTCTGTATCCTCCTTTAATTGTAAATTTTTTCACACAATAATCCGACCATTTATCCTTTCCGAAATTTCATTATAATCTGAAAGTATAATTGAGTTTGTCCCCATCACATGGTAATTTATTTATAATCTTAATTTCGACTTTTCTTGTTGAGTATCTGAACTTCTTTAGTCAATTCACGTCTGTTTCCAGTCGTGGTTCAAACATTTTTTCTCATTTCTGCTGTCATTGGTCCCTTTTCCAACAGAGAGCAGGCGATCTGCTATCGATATTTTCCTTAAGGCAGCTGGTTACCTTGACTGCTCAGTCCGTCATGTTCTCCCACAATTTCCTTCAGAATTCAGGTATCTTGATGAATGACTTTTGGTTAGCAATTAGAATAATCTCCACGAACTGCAGGTTCACCCTTTGACCATACATCTGCATTAGGAGAAATCTACCGGTGGACCTTGCAGAAGGTGTTCTACGAGCACTTTGCCTCCATGCATTAGGCCAGGTACACTTTTTTGGCAGCTATCTCATTATACAAACAAGTGGGCACTGCTTTAGGAAGTGATCTTGTTCAACTGTTGTATTGATGCATTTCCTTAAAGAGCTGCCTCAGTTATATCGAACTTTGGGTACTTGGACTAGATTTAGCTTTTTGGGTTAATGATAATGCATAAAATAGAACACTAACAATAAATGAAAATGGCAAATGAGACTATGAAAAAATCACAGTGTTGGTAGCAATGCACAAATCAATTGGAAGTGGGGGTAACTACGTGGTACAATGTGGATTTTGAAATCCAATTTGGTCATCACCTGGAATGATTTTCGACTCAGGGTAATTGGCAAGTTTGTTATTGTTATATTCGGTAGATTGGTCGATCAGTATCGGACAGATGTGAACTATTACACTATTATAAAATTTCGTGCTAGACTGATGTTAGACAATACTGCTGCCTTAAAACTTTGGGTGGTAATGCATAAGTTGGAGTCTTAGTTTTGAATTAGACAATACCGATGTTAGACTGATGACTTTGTTAATTACACGTGTTATGATTATTACGATGCTAGTTTAAGGTGAATGATAGTGTCTGCAATGCTATAGCTCCAATGTAATACACGAGTTGGTGTCTTAATTTTTAGTTTATTTTTGACTCGATGACTTCTACTACATATATATATATTTTTTTATAATTACCTTCTTTACAATTATTTAATTGCTTTTGATGCTCATTTAAGGTGAATCAACTTTTCTTTATATTACGTGACATCTTCTCCATTCTCTTGAGTAGGGTGTTGATATTCAGCTTGGACTAGCAATTGATAGTACAAAGGCCACTTTAGCTGTGAAACGAAGACTTGCATGTGAGATGGTGAAATATTGGCAGCAGGTATCTTTTCTCTTTGTCTGTATGCTTGATGATCAAACAAAAACAAGTTCAAATTATTTTGAGTTGTTTGGTTCATATTTGTATACATTTTATTTTTATTCTTTCAATTTCTATTCGACCTCTGCTGCTTATGGAGAATGCCAAAAACTTTCATCATTTTAACCTTCTCATCCTGCATGCTCTTGTTTTCCTAATTATAATCTGCTGCTCAATGCCAATTAACAATTTTGTTTTCTCCTGCACTCTTTATTATAGAAGTGGCTCGTTACCAATTCACAGATTATTCATTTGTCTTTACTCTATATTAAGACATCATTTTTCTGCTAGAATAATTCAGTAAGCTCTAAGCCTTAGCATCTTCAAGAGATTCTCAATTTTTAAAGAGCATATTTTGTAATTTAGAGAACATCTATAAATTTATAGAGTAAAAAATTTTAAATACTCAAACAACCTCTTTATCTTTAATACTTAATTTTAATACTCCCAATATATATTTATTGTTTTCCTATCCTTTTTCCATTATCTTCCCTCCAAATTATTATGTTATTTTCCTCCATTTTCTCTGTATATACCATTTAATTGGGTCAATATATGGAATATTAAAAATTAAAATATTTTGAATGCATTTAATTATAAAGAGTGGATTTGACTCTCCAAATTTGAAGAGCCTAAACAACTCTCTATTATAAAAGTTTAATTTAAAGAGTTTCCTAGAGTATAATTTTAACCGTTGATTTGACTTTTAAAAAGCCTTTTGTAGATAATCTAAATGGTCTAATTCAACAAAAATCTTATTATTACTGTCAATTTTCTTACAATTTTATAGTTAAGTAGTGGCAATGGATTTAGCCATGACATTTAATTGGATCAGAGACTTGGTTTTACGATTGGGAAGTCCAGGACATTTAATCTCTTATTTAGTTTAGCTAAAAATCAGATTTTTTAGTAGATGTTGATAAAAGTTGTGGGTCCATAAAATGTATGGTTAAAAAGTTGATAAAAGTTGTGAATACCAAGAAATGTGTAGTTGAAAATGACTTTTATAGAAATGGGGCCAAACAAGGGCTAGATCTTGCCTATCTCTTTTATTTCTGAATTTTGAACTGCAATTATTAGATCCATGGTGACTATAAATTACATGGACGGTATTAGAATAAGTTTAATGATTAGTTCCAGCTTCGCGACAACTATTGAATGATTTAATTAAATATACACTGTGTTGTATTAGTATGGTTGTATATTAATTTATTCACTAAATTATGCCAATCACTTTTATGATTGATTTATTTACTAAATTGTTGTATGATTTTGTTACATTATCAGTGTCTAAAAAGAGTAACACAAGCGCTAATAGAATTCAGCATATAATGATCACTACTCCTTTTCAAGCACTGAAGAAAGTGCAGAATAAATTATTTTACTTCACATTCTCTAATCATCAATTATAGTTGCCACCAATATGATATTAAATTATATTTTACACAATTGGGTATGTAGCAAAAAGATAAGCTGATTTGAATGTGTATAGCCAGTCATCTGATGTGGTCAAAAAATTAAAATTTTCTTCATTATATGAGAGTGATATTTTTCATAGATATAGACTTTGTTGGAGTTATGCCAGATGAGCCAGAAAACTGTGCACTCTGTGCACAAGGACTCTGTCCGCACATCCGCCCCCCTAGTATTAATGACACACTTAAATAATAGCCAATGCAGAGTACGATAACTTTTGTCTCACAACAAAGCTTGTACCTACATAGTTCATTATCATTAAGTACTTTGGATGTCGTCAAATATTTTTGTTTGATTTCCCTTTTAGGGATTCTTAATTATTTTATTTACTCTGACCTCAATCAGTTGAATATCACATATTAGACTGGTGTTGTCACCCTGGAGTCAACTGAAATTGAAAAATTGTCTTTTGTCACTTTGTAGGCTCAAGATAACCTCATGAACCTACCATTGGCAAATGGTTGGGGAGAAAAACATAGGCTCTTCGTGAAGTGGAAATATATTGAAGCTAAGGTATCTTGTGATTGTGCTACTCTCGCTTCATTCAACACTTTTAGGCAGCAGTTCTTTTATCATAAGCCAGCATCTTGACCTATCACATTCACACTATCTCATCGAAGTATCATCAATAGGAATTTAATCTAATTACTAAATTTTGGTACCTTTTTCTTCCAAATTAAGCCCCTGTTTGTCATCCTTTAAAAATTTAAATTGTTTGCTACATGATCATTCTCTACCACACATTTACACAACAAAATATTTTACATATTAACCACTAAAGTTTTCTTGCTTGTTAACCACACATTCTCCAAAAAATACTATTCGATAACTCATTATTCCCAAATAAATTCTATCAAACTGGCCATAATTAAGTGATAAGTACTAGCAGAGTGACTGCTATTATTTTCTCAGTAATTTTTACTTTCTGAGGCTTGGATAAGTATATATTCATATTAGACTGCATCTTTTAAACATAAGATCATTTGGGATGTATATGATTTAATCTGACCTGTAGTATCACTATCATTTTGATGCAAGAATTTCATGTTCCTTAGGCTGCAGCATATTACTATCACGGTCTGATTCTTGATGAGGGAAACACAGAAAAGTCTCACGGAATGGCCGTAGCTGCTCTGCAAGCAGCAGACGAGTATCTCAAAGAAAGCAAGAAGGCCTGTGAAGCTTTTAATGCGTCTGTTCCTGTCTCTAGGTAATCCTTGTTCATCTACTTCCCATCTCCTCCCACGTTGAAATGGGATCACGTCAATTTGTTTGTTTGTTTTATTACTAAAAAAATCATGTTTACCTTCTGCTTCATTAAATAACATTTGAGTATTCCGGGAAACTGAAGATCCAAAAGAGATCAGAATCACAGATCATGTTCCTTTTTTTCTTTCTTTAATTTTTTGGGAAAAGCTATTTATAAACATTACAGCCAGTAATTTGCGTGCTTTTAGCATGTGTTTGGTCCTGCCGAGTTTTACACCTATATCCATGTGACATCTTCTCCAGTTTTCCCAATTTTTCCCAACATCAAATGTTAAAGTGACGAAAATAACACCTTTCTACTTAGCCATGTAACAATGTTTCAAGATTAAAGTAATTGGTAAGTATATAAAGATTGCACCAAAAGATTATGACATGATCTAGGTGGCTATGAGATCAGTAAATATCTCTATTTCTGACGCAGGAATCCAGCTCTTTGGGGAACCATGAAGTATCTCTTCGAGAAGATTCCCAAGGACACTTCGAGCAAGGTCCGAATCAATAGGGATTTATATTCTACTGAAAAGTAAGTCTTCTTTAGTATTAAACTCAAAACACACGAGTCATTCATGCACATGTATATCAACATAGACGTGGTACAAAAATACAGTGGTGGGGCTGCGACTCTTGCATTAACCACCAGAAAACAGTGAACAAGCTGAGCAAAAATTTGGGTTCTCGTTTATGTAATTTATATAAATATTCTTGCCTAACCACGTGGAAGCAAGATTGGATCTTATCTAATTTAAAACTAATACATTTGGGTGTAGAATTATGGAGACAGCACCAACATTGCCTGATTTCGCATTGGCTCTGAAACCTGATGCGTGGCAAGACTGGATGATAGTGATTCTGTGGTTGGGCTAGAATTGGAAGGCTGGTTCAAATATTTTATTTGTATAAAAATAGTATGGGTACGATTGGTGCCACGTTTCACTTTGTTAAACGTGACTTCCAATGGAGATTTGCTCATGTCAACGTCACACTTTTGGCCTTTGCCAACCCAAATAATTGTTGGGATGCCAATTCAACTTCTGGTGCGTTGGAGCCACGTTGCACTTTGTTGTACGTTACTTCCAATGAATATCTGCTCATGTCCACATTACACTTTTGCCCTTCGCAATCCAATTTCAATATAATTTATTTAAGTCATGTTTGGTAGAGTTTAAAATCAAATTTTTAATAAATTTTGATAAAAGTTGATGAAATGTGTGATTAAAAAATTGTAAAACCCGTGAAATATGTAATTAAAATTAATTGTTAACTTTGACTTATATTAAAATCTGAATTTTAATCCGTACTAAACATGGACTAAGTTTAAGGATGAAATATCCTGATATTAAAAAAATTCTCCAAATGTGTCCAGTTAGAACATATTCTTTAAGGCTCATTATTCTTTCCAACTTTTTTTTTTTTAAAAAAACTTTACACTTTCTCAATAAAATAAGCTTGCATGTGATCTTGTAATTTTTTCTTACTTTTTTACTACGCATTCTTCAAAAAATCACTTTTCCTACATCAAACAGTTACTACTTTCACATGTGAATGACACAGCGCAAACATTTTCCTTCTCTCATCAGCTCAAATGCCTCGTTTATATCTTCAAATGCCATGTTGTGTGTGATGTACTCATCGATCTTGATTTCCTGTACACAGAAATTAGAATGGTAAGTGTTCGTCTGTATATTCAATACAGTTATTATCAACTGTAAAGTAAAGAGATCTAGAAAAACAACTTAGAAGGGGACTGAATGATTGTAGTCTTTACCTGATTTAGGTACATATTAACTAAAGAAGGAAGATCAGATTTTGGTTTCCATCCACCCAAAAGGGATCCAGTTAGTGTTCTTCCAGTAAGAAGCAATCCATAGTGAGCTGTTATTTCTGGTTTTACTTTGGGCACACCAAGTGTAACAGTCAGACCCCATCCCTAACACCCATAGAGAATCTTCATACATATATATATGCAACTAATTCAAACTGAAAACCTTAACTGTGTAGAAATGAAATCAGGGAGATCATAAAATTACATCGCAACATGACTGTAAAGCTGTAGTAATCATTCCTGTATCTCCTATACATTCAAATGCAAAGTCGGCACCACCATCTGTCATGCGTTTTATAACCTGGAGATGATTCGACATTGATGCACTATTAAAGATATAGTTACAAATGTGCACAAGTTTAATCTGTGAAGACGAAAAATAAACCTGTGCAATTGGTTCATTATAGTCATTTGGATTCAATAAGTATGTCACTCCAAAAGCCTTGGCTGTAGCAGAGGGGAACATCATGAACAACATTGAAGATATATTTGGGAATTAGATAACATGCATTTTGAGAACATCAAGGGCATGTTTCGTACGCTATATTGGACAGTACTACTGTCCGGTAATGTAATAGCCACTTTGCCAAACATAGGACAAAGGACAAAGGCAGTACCTTTTTCATTTTTTTCTGGGTTTGTGTCTACACCAATTATTTGAGATGCTCCCCTCAATTTAGCACCTTGTACAACCTATTTATACAAGATGTCACAAGATATTTGAGATTTCATTACAGTAGTTGGGAAGTGCAAGTCTTGTCTGGTTGAAGGTAATTGATAGATACAATTATATTGAAGTCAGCACACTCACAGAAAGGCCCACAGTTCCAAGACCAAAAATGACGACAGTGGATCCTTCAGAGACATTGGCAACCTTCCAAGCAGCACCTAGACCTAATTGTGAGGCACATACACCGCTTTACAACATTTCCAGTAAGACTTGAAAAGAATAGATGTAAATTAAGCTATATGTAGATTCTGAAACAGCAAGGAAGGAAGTAGTAATGTCACAGTTGAGGCATGCACAATAGAAAATAAGTAAATACCCAAATAGCATATTTGATTCATACTTTTCTCCAAACCAATTTCTTCGAAGCATGAGAGTAAAAATTTAAAACCAGAGTTTGTTCTTGGTTTCTTCTTGCTATTACATTGAACAATTCAGGACAAGGCATGCAAATGGAGTGCACACATATTTATTGGCTTGGATGACAAAATTTCAGGGCGAGGAGAATCAAACCACACACAACTAATATAAAAGAGAAAAATACCCGCTGCAACTCCACAACTAAGAAGACATATTTTCTCTAGAGGTGCACTCGAGCTAATCTTGACAGCACATCCAGAATGCACAACTGTGTACTCACTGAAACTTGAAACCGCACAATAATGATACACAGACTTCCCTTTTATTGAGAAACGTGTTTTATGGTCACTGTGCATTAGGCCTTGACGTTCCAACCCTAACACTTGGCAAATATTGCTTTTGCCTGAGGTACAATGTCTGCATCTCATGCATTCTCCAGTAAATAGAGTAAGCACATGGTCACCCTCTTCGAATTCAGTAACTCCTTGGCCAACGCTCTCAACTATCCTGCAAATTCCCAGGAAATGTTTCTCAGATCAGTACTATGGGGAGAAACACTTCAGCCAGATGCTTTAAATTTTAGTAAAATATTAAGATAAAAAAAAGACTCAACCTTGAAAATTGGTCATACTAAAGGGCATAATCCAGAGAAAGGAAATCCAAAACTAGACACAATTCCTACTCTTCGATTTCTTTCTCACAAGGGACCGAGTAATAAACCAAACGAACATAAATTTCACATAAAGGATGATTCTGAGAGTTCAAAAGAATTAGTACACAAGTAATTATGGGCATTGTATACAACTGAAAAGGCCCCAGTCTAAACCTAAACCTGTAATTTACTCTTAAATCCATAGCCGTCAGAAAATAGGATACAGTTAAAGGATGATAAGAAACCAGAAAAAAGCTTATTTTACAATCGTAAATAATATAGAATTTACCCTGATGCTTCATGGCCAAATATTCGAGGAAACATGGGTGCCTGCCAAAAAAAAGTCCCGAGTTATTAAGCAATAAATATTTATACTGGACGGACCCATCCTACGAATACAGATCTAAAAAAGCAGCAGAATCTCAAGCATCAATAACAAAACAGAGGAGGAGGAAGGGGAGAGAGAGAGAGAGAGAGAGAGAGAGGTCAAGCCAATTAGTAATACAAGAAAAGAAGATATTATTACTAAGGAAGTTGAACTGACAATATGAAGGAAAACAAATATTAATGTAACCTGAGAGAGCCAGGCGGTGATATCACTGCGACAGAGAGAAGTGCAGACCACCTTAATGCGGATCTCCATAGGCTGAGGTGGATTTACTTGGACCTCCTCTATCACCAGAGCCTCTCCAGCTGCCCATGCTACCGCAGCTTTACAGGTGATTACGCCGGCGCCAGCCTGTTTACTTGAACTACTACTTGGAAGTGCCATTGCCGGAAAATCAAGTTCCCAGGGATGTGGAAAAATAAATTATCAGTCGGAAAAAGCAGAAAATTAAAGGATTTGCCCAACAACCCCATTTGGATTCTTGAGTGGTGGTAGGTAAGTAGGTTGCTGATGATGAAAGGGTTGGTAGACAAATTCTTTGTTCTTTACACCTTATTTCTTAGCTAAATAGAATTTATCTACACATCTAGAATTTTTAAGTCCCTAACATCCATTAGTTGGCAGTCTGATCCCAGTGAATAATGTTATTTAACATCATTAATACTAAAGCATCAGCGTCATAACACGATAGTCTCAATTCAAAGTAAAATTATGTCATTTATTTGATTGTATCTATCATTTAACGTCATTTAAATAAATATTGTTATATTAATGGTGCATGTGTTGATAGAGATTAGGCCCCATTTGACCTCTATTAATTTTCATTCTATTACATTCCATTTTTTTTTCTATTCTCAACCATACAATTTTTCATAAAATAATATTATACGTAAATTGAAAATTTTTCTTTCTTTTCAACCACTCATTTTTCAAAAAAAACACTATTCCGCCTATTTTCATTTCTACCAAGGGGGGGCTAAATTTTGATTTTTTTAATAAATTATGATATAAATATTTGAAATTTGTGATTGAAAAGTTGCAAAATCCACGAAATATGTGATTAATATTGATTATTTGACTTTAATTTAGATTAAAATCTAAAATCAAATGGGCTATAAATAACATTAGTCTCGAATCTATAAATTTGCACTTTGCAACAACATAAAAAGTCAAATTTTCTTTAAAAAGACATTTATACCCTCGTTTAGTAAAACTAATATAATTTGGAACAACATATGTTTCACTGTCAAATAAAAATCTTTCACCCAACTTTGAGTAGTACTGGACAAATCTTCCGAATCGAATTGAATCCGACGGTTCTTGTTAAATTAAATACCTGAACGGGTATCTAAATTGAAAACCGACGGATATGATTCGGTTTCGATTCTAGACCAAGAACTGAAAAATCGAATCTTTCTAATTTTTTTATATTCAATAAATCAAATTATTTTAATTTTAATTTTTTCTAAACAAATTAACAATTTCTAAATCCAAATTTTTGGCCCAATTACTTATTTTATTGTCTCATTTCTTAGCCCAACAAGATCCAACCCACTAAATAACCCTAAACACCAACAATAAAGTGCATAACGTTGTCTCGACTCTCGCAGTCTCGCTGACATTCCAAAACCTATACAATTGTCAACCGACGCTGTAACCTCCGATCGAAGCTGTGACCTCCGCCAACCGAAATTTTGATCGTAACAATCATTTAAACAATGTTATCTACTAATCTCTAACATTTCAAAACCATTGAATATATCATTAGTTGTATTTATATAATGTTGTTATAAATGTTACAAAAATTAATTATAGTACAGAATCGAACGAAACCGAACAGAACCAAACCCGAACGGTTCCATAATTATATTTACACCCGATGGTTCCATTTTCTAAATATCCAAAAATTTTGATTCGGTTCGATTCTCTTTAGAATCGAATCAAACTGACCCGCGCCCACCCCTAACTTTGAGGGAATGGGAATCCATTTCACTCAACTTTAATTTGATGAAATCAGATCTCCAACCATTTCCTTATAGATCTTGCCACTCATCTTGATTCGATGCAATCAACTCACCCAACTTCAATTTGCTTACAGATATGGTTACTTTGTGCACTGGCGTCTAATAGACGAACAAAATATGCTAACCTCGACTTTGATAATAATGAATAGCTATCATGTAAACACACTCTTAATTTATAATGTTTTTTAAAAGAAAATATTTCAAGATGGGCTCTGTTCATTATTGTCAAAAGTGGATTATATTTTGCTATGATCAAATACATTGCCCTGAAATAGAATCAAGTTGATAAAGAGATATTTAAACTACCAAAACATCATGAAGCTATGATCGATACACAGCAAGAACCGCGTAAAAACTTCTTTATAACCCTGACAAGTTAGGATACAGATAATTTTCCAAGCAATATTTCTTGTTTGGTCTCTCACAGTGGCATAAGTGACAAATTATACCTCCATTGTGAAAGCCAAAAAAAATTCAATCATAAAAAATAAGGCACTCCAGTCCTGGGTCCGCGCATCTGGTTGTTTTCCTCGGTCTCGGTGAAAAACTTCACCTCTCTTTCCTAAGGCGATGTAAAAAGGGGCAAAATAAAAGATGATCAAGTTAGATTAAAAATATGCTTCCATTCGATGAACAAGTAGCCGAGTGTTGAAACCTTCTCAATGATATACGGTAAGCACGACAGCAATCTTAAGAATTTTGGAATTGCTCTATAACAATGCAAGGGGAATAGGGAGGAAGCGGAAGAGATATCGAGAGAGAGAGACCAACAAAAAAATAAAATAAAATAAAATTGAGCAGTAATACCATATTATCATTGAAGCTTAATATTGAGGCGACATTTCCACATCGGTAACAATAATTGGGTGCAGACCACACCTGCACAGTCATGAAGCAAAAATAATCTAAGAACAAACACCAAAAATTGTACCAGATACCATGTTGTAATCTCTGATGCACGAGAGGCAACTCACAGTTACAAGTCCTTTATCCTGAAACATGTACTTCAGACCTTCTTGGACAAGTTGGTGGGCACGACAAACTAAATCAAGTTTGTTAATGTGGTTGAACTGCAAAAAACCAAATATTAGTGTTAGCATGACATGTTGAATGGACTCTCCACATCTGGAAGCTTAGCCTATGTTTGGCTCATGTTTATAAACATTTAGACCACTTTTTATCCACACACTTAGTGGGATCCACAAGTACTACCTACCTATCTACAAACAAAACCATTTATAAACACTTCCCAAACATGCTTTTGTATAAAGAACTTTCTTTTGGACAGAGTGGGAAGCAAAACCAGAGACAAGTGGACAAGGCATGATTGGCCACCAAGCTTTCCACCCAGGTATCACATTGACTTACCTCAGAAGTAACCCTGGATCCAAAAAGCCAGCCTGCTCCTCGAGGGCTAACAGCCCATGTTTCAATATCTTCAGGGTCACTCCACATTAGGTCGCAGAAGGGCCCTTCATGGGGAATTTCACTATTTCGTTCGATGATCCGAATCTGCCAAGAAAGCAATAAGAAGAAGCACATATAACTTACTTGCTAAGCCACAAAAGTGGACCGCATCAAGCTTACTAGATTGGCATGCACATCCAGATACGGAGAAGTCTATCACATTAGGGTTTGTCTACTTGTACACCGGGGTTGACACCATCGTGGGCCCCCCTCTTGTGAGGGGGTCTATACACCGGTGTACAAATAGAAAAAATCACATTAACCAACAAAGCTTACAGACTATCATACTCATGAAGCAAAGCATATACTTAAATGTGTCTAGTTCACATACAGAGACCATTCCTTTAATGGTAATCAAAGGAACAAATCACCAAATAATGCAATAATGCAACAGGCTTAGCCCCACGTTCTTTTAGAAAAAAAACGTGTTACAATTGAACATAAATGCGTAAAGGAACACTCATCCAACCAAGCATAAACACAATCTTCTTATCAACTTCAAGACTTCTCGTGTTGAAGATGTAAGATAAACATCTTATGAAATGATAAAGATCAAACCTGGTCAATAGTTCTAACATCTGGTGATAGGCCACCATGGACACAAAGCACCTGGAGTCAAGCAGAGGCAATATATTAATATTGGTTGTAATACGAACAAGCAATCAGTAAAAATCAGTAAAACTACTAGAGTGGGTCTTTTCATTAAAGCCGTAATTCTTTCCCTATCCCTCCTTTGAAATGAAAGAATATAGAGACTTGGGTTACAATGTCACAGATATTCAAACAAAGAGCATTAAATCACTAATAGGTTGAGAATACTCTATTGTATACGATTGGAGAGGGAAAAAGAGGATATACAGTTCCATCTATGATTGCTGACAGAGTTAGATAGTCAAAAACATCTGTGCAATACCGCCAAGCATTAGCATTTCCATACTTCCTTTGGCATTCATCATAGAATCCATAGACCTACAAGATAATAGGACAAGTAAAAGTTCATCAGAAGATAATAGTAAGCAATGGTCGAAAATTCCCTTCTAATCCATCACATGCATGTTTTTAATAATAGGAAAAGGTAAACCGCACTATGACCACCAAACTTTCTCCAAAAATAGACGTACTATTAATAACCAAGACAGAACAAAAAGAACATAGTAGACACTCTTCACCAACCACCACTAAACCCTCAACCAGATGCTAACTGATTCAACGAGTATGCCATTTGATAGCCCCTATATGACAACCATTAAAATGAGTTTTTTTTTGGGGAAAATGAGTTTTGGAATAGTGAGTTTTTGGAGGACGTGTGGTAAAAAAAGTAGAAAAAAGAATTGAGTTTACGCGTAGAATATTTTATTTTGGGAATGAGTGGTTGAAAATGAGTTAAAGAAAAAAGAGCTTTACTTTAATGGTTGTCAAACATGGGCATAATAACAAATGCCAACAAAGAAAACTTATAATAACTTTAAAAAAAGCACAAATAAATCCTTCTCGATCTTATTATTGCTTGTGCAATAATTTCTCCCTGGGGTTCCAGTCAAACATTCTTATGGTCATTTATGCAATATGTTTCATAACGAAATTACCTACTGACATCAAATAACAACATGGCTATGAAGACAGAATTCACGAAGTTATTTAGTGATTACCTGTGTTAGCTGCCTGCTTTCATGATTTCCACGTAGAAGAGTAATGTTAGCAGGGTATCTGGTAACAAAGTACAAATACAATATAAATTATTAAACCAAAAACAGAAAATATCCGGTACAAATAATCTGAAATGATAGAATCAAGCAAAGATCATCCAAGGGAAAAGAATTATTTCAGCTTGTATGGCGAGTCAGCACATTACAGAAGAAAACTTGTTCAACCTAAAACACCTAGATATCTTCAGATGTTTTAGAATAGTAATGAACTGGAAATGGAAACCGGTACTTGAGGTTTGGTTATAGATAAAATATTAGGTTGTTCGTGTGACAATAATTCTTAAAAGTTGACTGGAATTTCCACACCAGTAACTATAACATCAATGGTGAATATTATACTTTTACTGATAAGCAAAATGAGCAGTCACGTAAGTTCAAGTTTCTTAATAAATTTAAGTGTGATTTACTTATTTTATTAGCTGTTAACAGTCATGTAGCCTCCTTCGACAATTTAATATTCAATATATATATATAAGTTGACAGAAGCTCCTAATCTGCAACAAGAATTATATTCTATAACACTTGACGCAGGAGTGTATAATTAGTTAAAAACATTTAGGAACCCAAAAGAGAAAAGGGTGTAAAGAAGAGAAGAATTGAGAAATCTTTATTCATATAAACCAGTTGTGAATTACAATGAATAAGTCCCTCTATTTATAGAGCTAAAAAGAAGTTAAAAACGAAACAAACTTCTAATAAACTATAGTTATCTCAAATTATAAAAAATAATCTAATTTAATCAGACTAAATATATTTGGAATCAAACTCTTATTATCAAATCTTAAATAAAATATATCTCTATCTTTATTCTTGTTATGATCTCCATCAACACTATTTCATCTGTGTGCAGCAATAGCACTGAAATGTTTTTGTCCCGGCTCTTTGTAACAATAGCAACAAGATAGAAGTAAAATGATTTTCATTGTACAACTTGCATTAACCTAATGGCTAATGTAATTTGATACAGAGACGCCGAGACCCACTGGGGAAAAAAATCTAACTTAAGCCCCGTTTGGTACCCATTTTTGTTAGAATGAGAATAAAAAATATAGCTATTACGGGACCCACATAAAAGATAGAAAATCAAATATAGTGACTTGATGTGATAGATGACAGTCATATTTTTCATTTTTGTGGTCAAAGAATGAGAATCAAACGGGAGCTTAAACAAATTGGTCAACTGATTTGCATGCACAGAAAACATATGGAAAGAAGCACCCAAGAAATGAATCACCCACCTTGCTTTGAGAAGTAAAAGGGTTGTGAAAACTTCTAGACTGTTATAACCACGATCAACAAAATCTCCCTGCAAAGAATCTTGAAGTTTCAGGATGAAACTATAGGACACCAAAACCATATTTAGAAAAAATTTACAAAATAAGCATATCGGAACATACAATACAATATTTACCATAAATATATAATTTGTCTCTGGTACATGACCTCCGGTCTGAAAAAGTTTCATCAAATCATGAAACTGTCCATGGATGTCCCCACAAACTGTAACTGGACTATTCACAGGCTGCACATTTGACTCCTCAATCAAGATATCTTTTACCTGGATAAAAACAGGGGAAATTGAACTTGTAAATATGTGGACAACATGGTGCTCCCAAGAAAACAAAAGATATGCTGCTGAAACAGGAGCAGTTAATATAGTTGTAATGATTAAGTACTGTGCAATACTTTACGAGACTGCATAATAACACAACTACAACTACACACAATATCATTAGCTCGTGAAATGTACGCGAACGAAAAGAAGAAATTCCTCACAGACTGTGCAACTCAAAAAAGGTCCATGGATGAAATTGTATGTTAAATTTGAAATATCTGGTGGAACTAAACTTAATACCAAACTAACAACAAGCCAGAATCTTGCCACTATTGCCACGTCATGGATCAAAATAGCATCAACATCAAAGATATATACAATTGGCAGGCTATTACTATAATTATTGATGTTTCAAGCACAAAGTGCACCAAGCTGACGAGGCCTTGCAGAGGCTAAGTGCAAAGAGAAAATTTTTATACATAGAAGCTTTGGTTTTGATTTTAAAATCTAGGTATTCTAGGGTGACCCCTATTGCCAAAAATATTCTTTAATTCTTAGCCTTAATCATAACCAAAAGATTAAAGAATGTGTTTTACACATTTGTGCAAAACTAGATTGGTAAATTAACATAAGAAAATGAACCTATTTTAATAGAAACGGGACAAGGAGCCAAAAGTTCCATCGAAGACAGAACCTCAAAAAGCCATAACTACACAATCAAACGCATAGCGGAAAATTCTAGACCTAAACCAAAATCGACATTGATCGGCAAATGGCACTGGAAATCAATCATGCATCAAGTTAACTCATCGTTTACCTTATAAAAATAAAAAATAAAAATAAAGAGGAGGAACGTAGACTTACGCATTCGCAGAGGAGCTGAAGCTCGTCTTCGGATAAGTGTTGACCCTCTTTCACCTTAGATATCCACTGGTCCAAATCCATTTTTTCTACTACTCAATTAACAGCGTCAGTATAAGTATATATATCTATGTCTTGTCCGTATACATCAATTTTGAAAAATCGAGAGGGAGTGGATTTGGGGATTGTATCTGAATAGAGTTCTACAGAATTTTCAAACCCTCTTCCACTCTTTATTTTAGTTTTTTTTTTTTTTTTTTTTTTTCAACTTTTATATTTGCTTTATTTTGCTTCTTCGGATATCTTAAATTTCAGAACTACCCTTTTCAGTTGCCTCATTATAGGGGGAAATAGTACAGCTGGATTTGATTCGATTCAGTTCTACTTCCTGTTTGGCTCTATTATTTGGATTTATATCGTGGGAATAATTTTTTTTTTTTTTTTAAAGGATGGTTGTTCAAGAATGAGAAGTTTTCGATTTGTGTAAAATATTATTTTATTGAAAATTGTGCGATTGAAAAATGAGAGAGAGAAAATTTTAAATTAAATTAATGAGTTTCAACAGGGGCCAAATTTTTAAAGAGAATTGAATCTAACTCAAAAAATTTTATTTTTAGTAAGCAGAACCGTCGGATCCAAATTTAATTATGAAACAATTCGGGTTTGGTTCCATTCGATTTTGGTTCGGTTCAATTTTATTAATTTTCCAAATTTTGTATTAAAATTAATTTTTTAATATTTACGAAGTTACATTAATTCAATTAATTACATGTTCAAATATTGCTTCTTATACAATAACGTAATCTAATCTTATGTATCTCCTATTGTTGAATTCAAAGATTTGATTGTTTAAATCACAAGAATTGAAATATAGAAAGCTTACAATAATGTATAGAATAGCCGTCGAACTTTAATTCGATTCCTCCATAACAGTAGAAATTAGAAAATAGTAATATGGTAGAATAATAGATTTGGGTAAAACTTAGATCAATTTAATTAAGTGGGCCTTTAACTGAAAATTAAAAATAGGAAAATCATATTTTTGGGTTTGGATTAAATTAATTAGTTAACAAATTTATTTTTTAAAAAATAAAATAATTTGGTTACTTGAGATAAATAAATTTAAAAATTTAAAAAGATTCAGTTCTTATTTGGTTCTTGATCAATAATCTAAAATCGAACAAAATCCATCGATTATAGATTCAGATACCCGTTCATATATTTAATTTAAGAAAAATCGTTCAATTCGATTCAGTTCGAGTCGGGTCCAGTTCAATCCAACTCGGTTTGAAAATTTTGTCCAATCCTAGAAAATAGCACCAAAGATCCCAATCTTTGATAGACATTGCACTTTAATCTTCAGCGATTCAAAATTGAGCATTTGCACACACTCTTTATCTTTAAATAACAAGCTAAAATGTTATTAAAACGATGCTTATGCTCGTATTTTTAATTTATAAACAACAAATAAATAATTAAATAAAAAGAATAAAAGAAAGAAAAAACGAAAAATGAAATTTCTCCTTTCACAAGTGATTCCACTACACTCGATAACAATTTTCGTTTGAGCCACTACGGCACCTATTTTGGCCATTTTATATGCAAGGGAAAAGCAAAGTGAAAAGCAAACCATATTCTAGTTCTAGATGTGATGAAAGTAGACAAATTAAATTTTAACCATTTCTCTTTATAGTAGAGCAAGAGATTCATATATTTGCCTGAACAAATACATGTGTTGACACATTAAAAGTGCAACTCAAATCAAATAATTCAAAGAGTGAAGCTCAATTGGGGAGTTCAAGATAAAGGTCCAAACAGGATTATAGATGAATGTAGTGGAAGCCCACGAATACAGTAACATCATCGCCCAAGTTTCCAAAACGCCCAAAATTTGGGCGAATGGAGTGCTTTACCGTCGCCCAGAGCGATGACCCTATTCTCGCCTAAACCTTCGAATCGCCCAGAATCTTAACAAACATAAAATATCGTGATTATCTAGAATAGCAGTTATTAAGTAATCCTATCACATTCCACGATTCAAGGAGCCCAGATGAAGGCGTTTGAACGACAAAGAGTAATGGCAGCAGTTAGAGATGGCAGTTCCACGACAAATTAGCCACCATAAAGAAAGTGGGTAGTTATAAAACGATCAAGCAGTTTTCAAGCGGTTTGTCACGAGGAAATCATCGAGGGAGTATAAAAAGGAAGAGAATACATAGAGAAAAGGACCAGAATCAAAAACTCTCAAACAGAGAATATGTAATTTCAATTTCTTAGCTTAAATTTAAACATTTCTTTTAGTAATCGTGTGCTTGCGCCCCTTGAAGACATTATGTTTATTTTCAATTGTAAATCATTGCCAATAAAACACCATTTTTTAAGACTTTGTCTCAAGAGGTCTGTTCCTTAAACAATCGTCTGATCTCTTTTTTAATTGTTAGCGACTACCTGCGCGAAAGAATTTGGCACGCCCAGTGGGAAAATTGGTGTTTGGTGTTGATGATACAAAATGAAACAATATGCCTCACAAATCTGATAAGGAAGTAGCAAGTTAGAGCGATATGAGGAGCAGCAAAGCTCTCCACGAACAGAGGGGTGGAGTCAGAGCAGTCACAATCGTTACGAACCAATGACAGAGTTAAGTCCTCGAACCATGCATGCATTGCTTGGAGAACTCACACAGGATGTCGTTAAACAGGTAAATCTACAAAATGTTCATAATATGGAATGATTTACCCAGAATGAGAATGCACATTATGACAACATGGCCAAACAACTTAATACATTAAATGAAATAATGAATAAGTTAGTAGGCCAAATTTGTCAGCCAGTTGTGCCTATTGCAAGTCACTTTCAAGTTAGGACAATTGTAGGACATAATTCCCCAGTCCTAAGTCCAAATCAAGGGATAGAACCACCTTTTGGTCCGTCTACTTCAAACCAAGGGATGGTGTAACGCCAAATTAGAATAATTGTAATGGTACATCTGACTTGGGGGTAATCTAAATGTAAGAGACAATTTCCTAAATAATGGACAGAATACCCCACGTGTTAATGATGGAATAAATATTTAAGTTAATGGTAACAATGGCCAAATCATGGCAACTTTATTGCCAATCAAGGACCAAACATCAAACCTCAGGCAAATCAACCGATCAACCAACCTGTAGAAATTCCATATGACCCCAACGTCATGTTGAGAAATCAAATTATAAAAATAGTACAGATCAAATGACTTTTGGAGTACGTCCCGTCATTAGGCTGACTTACACAAAGCCATATCCTGATTGGGTAGACCAAGCATATCCATGGCCTAGAGGATATAAAGTGCCAGAAATCTCATTATTTACCAGTTTATGAGAGATGTCTACTCTAGAACACATAGGGCGATTCACATTGCAAAGTGATGAAGTAACCGACTACCATAAAATGAGGTTGTTCCCTAGTTCATTAATAGGAGTAGTTTTATCCTGGTTCATCAATTTGCCAGCGAACTCTGTTCAAACATGACAACAATTGGAACAATTGTTCCATGCTCAGTTTTATAAGATTGAGTCTGAAGTTATTTTGGCCGATTTGGTGAATCTACGTCAAATGCCAAACGAATGGGCAGAAGGTTTCCTTCAAAGGTTCAAGACAGCAAGAAATAAATGTTTTGTACCTTTGCCCAAAAAAAGAATTTGTCAAAATCGCTCAAAGTTGTCTAAACTTTGATTTGAAAAAGAAATTCCAAGACAGAGAGTTTCATGATCTTTTCCAATTGAGCGCAAACGTGATTAGGTATGAACGATTAATAAGAGAAGAAGAACAAATGAAAAATTCTAGTACGGGGACTTATTATAGAGACCCAAATTTTGATGTTTATACCATTAATGACGAGTATCACGATCAAATCGAAATGTGTTTGGCCAAATTAATCAAAGGAGATGCGTATACTTGTCCTATAATGGCTAAGCCCAGATCATCGGGCAATGATGAGCCTATAAAAGTTGAAAACAAAAAGGCTAGAATATTCTCATTCGATGTAACCAAAACTGATCTTATATTTGATAAACTATATAAGGACAAACAAATAAAGTTGAGCGATAAACATAAGTTGCCAAGCCCTGAACAAATCAAGGGTTAAAAATATTGTAAGTGGCATAATGCATGGTCACATTTGACTAACAACTGTTTGGTTTTTCGCCATGTGTTATAGGACGCCATTGAATCAGGACGAATTACGTTCGAAGATAAGAAGAAGATGGCAGTGGATGAAAATCCTTTTCCACAGCCACTTGGGGTGAACATGGTGACGACTGGTTTCAAAAACAGGTTGTCAAAATTCAAGTTGGTTATAGACGACGGAGAGGAGGACCCTGGGCCACACCCCAGTGTCTTTGAACATATCAAAGAGAAGGAGCCTAAAAAGGATGAAGACGTCCTGTGTGCAAGATGTAAAGGAGAAGTGAGTGCAAATACAGAGAAACCAAGGATATGACAGTATCACCATCGCCATAGTTTTTTCCCAAACACTCAGCCTGTTAGAGGGAGAGGTACATCATTTCATAGGGGACTGCCTTTTGAGAGGCCGTTCAGGACAATAAATAATGGGAGAACATTCAGGCCGCAACCTCGCCAACCAAATGTATGACATTCGTTCCAATATAATGCAGGAAGGGTGATATCTTTCAACGAGATTACTAGAACCAAACAAAGACGTTTTCAACGGAACTATGGATGAATAATGAGGTAACAACAGGGAGTGCCACATCCTAAGGAGCCTAAACTACTCGAGGTAGCCAATCAAAATGTTCTCGAAGACAGTGAAGAGACTGGTACAGGTGAATCGATAGAAGAATTATTAGAGAGTTCTTCTGGGAGATCGAAGTTTGGGCGAGACAGAAGGGGTGAAGAAGATCCAGATCAGCCTCTTACTATTTAGTTCGGTACGTTACCTCCTGTCATGGCTAATAACTATTTACTAGCCAATGAATTCAAGAACAAAAAGAAAGAAGAAGACGAAAGGGAGGATAACGATGAAGAAGCATGTGTACTAGAATGTGAAAGAGGCCAAACTTCTAGAGGGGCCTACAATGATGAAGAATATGATAGTATGACGGACATCGAAGAGGAAATTAATCTGGAAGCAGAAAGAAGAAAGAGAGGAGTATCGCGCAATATCCCGTTGAAGCAACTACATAGAGAAGGTGTTCGTGAAGTGGATTTGTTGGGAGAACCATCTGGGCGTTCTTTCGATTATTATGTGTT